ACAGGCAGTCCTAGAAGCCTACCCGCATGCAACTGATAGGGTTAAGTACCATTACCTTCTATAGGTCACAAAGGGACTACAGCACAAGTACGTCCTGACCTATGAGTACGCAAAAAATCCCTTTCAGGACATATGGAAGGTGTGGAAGAGTGGAATCGGAAAGGATGGACCAACCATCAATGACACCATAGAAAAGATAAAATTAGGCTTCAGTCAGACTTTGGAAGAAGGAATGGTGGTATCATTGGCCATCTTACAGATATATCTAATGGTAGAACAATTGGAGAACAGAGCTACTTCAGAAGAGGTATCCTTCCTTTGTTCAGCTATTTTATCTCTGCTGCCAAAGGGCTACGCAGCAGGTTTCTTGAAAAGTTCAGCTTGGAAGTTAATGAGTCCTTTCAATCAGCACTGCTTCGAGAGGAACTGCTGAAATTTATAAACTCAACATGTAAGAATGAAGAGGCAATGACCATGTACAAGAAAGATGACGCTCATAAGAAATTCAAGCCAGCAGCAATAGCAACTCACAGGAAGAACAATTGTCCAGCTTGCAAATGCCAGCATGACATCAGAAACTGTGAGTTTTTTAGGGACTGTTCCTATGGCAGCAAAAAGGGGATCTTACGGGAGAACAAACTCTGCTTCAAATGTTTCGGAGCAGGACATCTGGTTACAGCTTGTCAGTCTGGTGTCAGATGCAACAAGTGTAGAGGAGAACACAATACCTTAATGCATGTTCCAAAAGAGGACCTTATATCAGGATCTGGGAATGGGCACAATACTCCTAGGGTTAAGCCCAAATACAAAAAAGTGAGCAGAGTAACTGCTACAAACTCTCCAACTATTTCACAATTGCCTCTGACAGTCTTCGAAGTAAAGAATCAGAGGATATCAGCATTAATGGATGCAGGCTCACAGATCTCAATGGTGTCAAGAGAGTGTGCCACAAGACTTAAGCTGGATAAAGGTTGGAGAAGTAGGCTTGCAACTAAGAACACTCCTCGCAGAGAAAAGGTTCACCAGCAGATGTAATAGTAATTCCTCTACCAAATGGGCTGGGTCTGATAGGAGGCAGTTGTTAGAGATAAAACTCATAGAGGTCTATCAAGAAGAAGAGAACATAGAGATAGAATGGGAAGGGAAGACTACCCTTATAAGAATCCCAGAAGTAATGGAGATTTAGATTTGATAATAGGAGTAGACAAGCAAGATCTACACCTGCAGCAAGGCAATATGTCTCCGATAACAGGAGAATAGTAAAGTATCCATTAGGTGGGTCTGTATTGGTAGAAAACGCAGGATCCATTAAGCCTACTTACTCAAGTGGAGCTGGGAGCCAATGTCTGCATCACTACGCAATCAGTTGAGCAACAGGAATCTCTAGTGGAGGATGATGAAATCAAAGCTAGAGATACCTATGAAGGAGAAAAGCTCAGCATAAAACAATGTTAAAGCACTGGAGCAATTCAAAAATGAATTTGACATCCAAGAGCTAAAGGCTGCCATTCCTTTCAAAAGGAATGTCAGAGATCTGAGGCTGAACTGTCGCTAGCAGAGTGTAGGTTGAGGAGTCTCTTAGTGAGATTTAAGAGAGATCTGGTATATGAGAGAGAATATGACTGGTTACTGTTCTCCGAGATAATAAGGGACAATGGTGATTGGGATACGAGCTATCAGCGAACAGCAGACAATACTACAAAGACTCTGGAAGTCACTCAAGGATCAATAAGAGCCAGTAGATATGTTGGAGGTAAAAGCTGAAGATGGTTTGCAACGCCTCCTTAAAAGCACATTGTGCGACTATTATCTAGGAGAAGGTAAAAAGATGATCTGTTAACTGCCAAGGCTAGAATCAATGAAAAGAATGTAATTCTATGCAAGGCAGAGCTACAAGCAGCAGTATTGGCAGTGAGGCTGTCAAAAAATTGAACTTGAAGGGAGTAGAAGTTAGTTTTCATATCAATAATAATGCAGTCTTCAGACAGATCAAAATGCTGATGCTAAGCTGGATGCATTCACAAGAAAGAATAAGATACATTACCGTAATCGAATCCTTCTTCTTGGAAAAGGATTGAAGGAGTCAAATCGCTGATCTCGGTACAGAAGGAGGAAGCATTCAGACAAACAATGGTTGACGCTGTTATATAGGTATGACTCAGTGCGTATTCTGGGGAACATCTTTAGACCATTTTCCCATGACTGGGAAAAGATGGTGCGAATAGCACAACTATAGTGAAGTGGGTACACCGGGACATGCAGTATACTCACAAAGAAGACTAGCAATAGCCTACTGTTGAGGGACGAGCAAAGGAGTAACTCAGGCAAGAAGCTCCAGGAGCTGGAGCCATTTAAGGACTCCACAGAGTTATCCGAATAAATGGAAGGTTGAGAAATGCTCACGGGATGCCATATGATGCATGGCACCCATCCTGATAACAAGAATGACAGGCTTGTTTAGAGC